AATAATAATAATAATAATAATAATAATAATAATAATAATAATAATAATAATAATAATAATAATAATAATAATAATCATAATATAATAATAATCATAATAATAATAATAATAATAATAATAATAATAATAATAATAATAATAATAATAATAATAATAATAATAATAATAATAATAATAATAATAATAATAATAATAATAATATAATAATAATAATAATAATAATAATAATAATAATAATAATAATAATAATAATAATAATAACAATAATAATAATAATAATAATAATAATAATAATAATAATAATAATAATAATAATAATAATAATAATAATATAATAATAATAATAATAATAATAGTAATAATAATTATAATAATAATTATGATATTAATAAAAAAAAAAATAATAATAATAATAATAATAATAATAATAATAATAATAATAATAATAATAATAATAATAATAATAATAATAATAATAATAATAAAAATAATAATAATAATAATAATAACAATAATTATAATTATAATAATAATTATAATATAATAATAATTATAATAATAATAATAATAATAGTAATAATAATTATATTAATAATTATAATATTAATAAAAATAATAATAATAATAATAATAATAATAATAATATTAATAATAATAATAACAATAATAATATAAAAATTATAATAAGGTATATGGTTTTCGTCTTTTTTATATTTAATAACGAAAATCACCTTCAAGTGTCAAAATAATATTCTCAAAATTTGGTGTGATATAATCCCACCTAGGACCAATAATTCACTAAACTAGTCGACAATTCGTATACTTTAATAATTTTTCAATTGTGAATAGTTTTTAAAATATGGACAAATTCACAAATGAACCCCCATTAGTTATTTCTAAATTAATAATACGAAAACAGAAAGGGAATACAATTTTAAGCTCATTCACAACACCATTCAACTGGTTTTAGCCTCAAATCTGTGTGAACACACACATAATGTTACATACGAAGATTAAAGTTAAGCAGAATTCAATTTGAGCGTAATCAATAAAATTATATAAACGAAACGTGTTTTAAAGAGCTCCATCTCTGTTAAATCAGGTTAATAACTGAACTTAAATTGTATTCCGGGTTTATGGTCATTGGCATTAACTTTTTTTTGGATTATTTTGAAAAATTCAAAATATTTTATTAAACAATTTTATAAATGTTATATGACCAGATATTTCGATGTACAATGAAAAAACGTGATAATAAGAACAAAATAAAGTCAATAAAATTGTTGTTTTGATGAATATATAAATTATCTTAAAAAAAACTAGAACTAAATACAAAAAACAAAAATTTTCATCAAAATATTCGACAGTAAATTGAATAGTCTTCTACAAAAGAAGCGATAAATATGTGTGACCCTAGCCTCGCAATTTTAAAGAGTGTTTACCAAGTTCAATATTCTGTTTTATTGATTTATGCCAATCTCCATGTAAAAAGGTCGTGAAAATTTAAGAGAAAGAAAAATTAAGCTATATGAGAACAAGAAAACAGACATTAAGTTCGGCCGAGCTGAACTTGTAATAACCTCCACCATTTGTTAAAGAAAACATTTTTATACAAAAGTATCTGGATTCAAACGTGTTCAATTTTAAACTACAAACACCAGTAAGATCGGTGGGAGAATGCGGTTAATGTTTTCAATATAGTGGTTGGAGCCGTTATACGAGGGTTATACCAAAATGAGAGCCTATATACTCAATTTTATACTAGAAAGATTAAATACCACATTTGACATAATTTCAAGGGTAAATGATAATCCTGGTTATCAAAATACCAATACCTTTAAGACAAATCCGTGGAAAATGTGACAAATCCGCCACCGGAGCTAGAACCCATAATGAAATACAAATACAAATTTTGAGACAAATCTGTGGACAATTGTGGCTAAACCATCAAAATACCGAAAATAGGGAAGTACTCTCATATAGGGGCTATACGAAAAAGTTGACCTATACAGGGTGAGAAAAAAAAACTGCAACACAGTCAAACGCCATAGTTTTTACATTTTTTTCAATTTCATTGAAGGAAATCAAAAATGTCGGAAATAGCATCAAATTTTAGAAAAAAGTTCAGATTCGTTCGAATTGGTTACCTTTGGGACGAATTATGGCCTTCGGCCAATGAAACCGTCGCACGCTGCCCGAATGTTGCTCTGCGGCATTTTAGCCCATTCCCGGCGTAGCGATTGCTTGAGGTGATCGACACTTTGGTACATTTTAGTGTCAACCTTGCTTTCCAAAATACTCCAGACACAATAGTCCAACGGATTGGTATCCGGAGATTTTGGTGGCCATTGTGTGCTGGAAATGAAACGAGGAACCTCATTCTGTAATCATTTTTGGGTGGCGCGTGCAGAGTGCAATGGGGTTGAGTCCTATTGGAATGTCGAAGGTCTGCGGCCCAAAATGTTTGAATGCCCCAGAATATTTTAGCGATAATATTCGGCATTTATTCTGATGCCACGGTTGATTAATACGAGCGGAGAGCGACCATCGGCTGTCATGGCGGCTCACACCATTACCATGGCCGGCGCTTGAGTTCTGGTGGCCAACCGAGGGGCACATTAGCTGACCTCTTTGGCAAGTAAACACCATCATTTTGTTTGTTTACAAACTGCTGGACAGCGAATGTTTTCTCATCGGAGAAACCCAAATTCGGCAGTCAACCACTTTCGGTCAAGCAAATCAGCTCTTTAGCTCTTTTGAGTCTTTTGTCTTTCTGCTGCGGTGTAAGTTCTTGCACTTTTTGAAATTTCAATGGCTTTACCCAGAGCTCTTTTTTCATTATTTGCCGAATGGGATATTGCGATATGTTCAGCTCACGAGTCATTTTTCGGCCAATGCGGCACGGATTTTGATCAAGTCGCTTCATAACTTTTCGAACCATTTCTGCTGATGTTGCTGTTTTCTTCCGTCCACTTCCTTGACGTCGGGCTACGCTACCAGTATCACGGTATCACAACAGATTTATTCACATTTAAATGCTGGGGTGCTCTAACGATAGCCGCTTGTGGTTTTTCAGCCAAATATATAGAAATCACACTATCACGCTTTAATTCCATCACAAATAACTTTTTTTCTGGAAAATTCTCACCAAAATGCTTTTGTACGCTTGTAAACAATATAATGAACTGTCACTGGAATAATGTTAACAGCTTTCGGACGAGTGGCTTAGAAATGGCAGCAGTCTAAAGTTGGTTGCAGTTTTTTTTTTTATCTCACCTTTTATATTTGCGTACCCCTTGTGGTACCTGATCCACAAAAATGGTCACAATTTTAAAAAACTCAGCGATTCTTTACAACTTGTTATATCTAAATATTTCTCTCAACCGGAAACCTGAGATTAATATGAAATTTATGGTTTTCGCATTAAATTGGATATAATTGTTCGATTTTCTTGTAATACCAATATTTTTATCTGTATTAGATAAGGTATAAAAATGGAATACTTCGGTCCACTTTATCTGGTACCTCAGGCACATTTTAACATTTTCTAAAAAAAAAAATTATTGCATATCTCAAATAAGGTGAAGGATGTAACCAATATAGTCCCAACCTGGCAAGTCTCAATATTTATATCATATTTATATAGGTCCGATACAAAAAGAACAATATTGGTCCATTCCCTCGGAAACTACCCTAGAGAGGGTCAACAATTTGAATAATCAAAATGGAAGTCAAAATATATTTAAATAATTAAACATTGACTGAGGGTAAGCATCTGTCGGTGAAAGTTACTGATACTTTTTAACTTGTTTTTATACCCTACAACACTATGTGTTGGGGGTATTATAAGTTCGATTGGGACAAAAATTATGTAGCACCTCGAAATATTGGTTTCCCACATAGGAAAGTATATATGGATCTTCCTATCTCCCGAGCTGAGTCGATCTAGCTATGTATGTCCGTCCGCCAGTCTGTCCGTCTGTCCATGTTAAATTGTAATCAAGCTACAGGTCGCAATTATGACCGGATCCTCACGAAATTGAAAATAGAGGTGGGGTGAGGGTCAGAATAGAAATAGAAATTTACATGGAGTTACAGTTTAGGACTGAAGCCTACCAATTTTGGGCGGCCATCTGACAATATTTAGCGGGAGAAATAGACCCTAACTTTTTTGTAAGAAAATAAGAAAATTTCCTCTAAACCGCAAATATTTTTAATCCCAGCCAAATCCCAAATACATTCAAAAGTCACTTCTGACCATTAAAGTGATGGTGATAGTCAAGAAATCAGATATATAGCGAAATAAGTACAGTATATATATAAAAGAATAGATCTTATTTATTCTGCTCATAAGTCAAGAACCGCTGGGCCGATTTTCACAGTTCCCATCAATTTGGAATGGTCTTTTTGCCAGAAACGAGTAAAATCTAAGAAAATTGCGGAAAAATATGGCAATCAAATAGTGAATATTTTTGTTCCATTTTTTTTTTTCAATTTTTGTCATATTTTTTTCGCATGCGATTTTTTCAATTTGGCTTTCAATTTTGAATTGTAATTTTTTTTTAAATTTTTACACCCCACAACACTACGTTTTGAGGATATTATATGCATTATCGTCCGATCCTCACGAAATTTTGCATGGGGGTCGGGTTAGGGTCAGAATTAAAGCCTATTGTTCTTTAGATGTACATTTAGGGGTTCAAATGGACTAAACAATTGAAATTTTTCTAATTTTGTAGTCGCTCTATAGACACGGAATTTCGCATCAGAAGAGAGTTAAGGACAGGGGCATTATTTTTGACATTATTTCAAATCTTCCAAAATATATTTGGACATAAGGGGCGTTCGAACAAATTGTAGTGTTGTAGGGTATCACATGATCGACCCCGCACGAATGTTGCCTTTTCTTACTTATTTTAAATATAAATGTTTAATTACAATTATATAGTCCACTCCTCATTTTATATTTTTGTAGACCAGTGTTATCCGTAAATATTTGAATTAATAACAAAATAAAAAAGAAGCCGCACACTTGCCCAACACAGATCTATAATGACTGGCGCTTTTATTTTTCTTTTAGAGACAACAACAAAAAAAAGTTTATACTTGGCAGCTAATTTCGGAGCAATAACACATGACTGTCGGACGGACCGACAGACATTGTTGCAAATTGAAAAAAAGACTAAACAATAAAATACTGATATGTATGTAAGAATTAATTAGTGCTAAACTAATAGACTAGCATTCTCATGGATGATTAGCATTTTCTGGACTAATATAGTCTGAACACGATTACACAACCATACCACTAGTCACAATCCTCTTTGGGCTTTTTATCCAAACATGGCATTTCCCACATTCTTTGATTTTTGCCAAACTCTTCACCATCCTGAAGGGTTTGAGGTAGTACACGATCCACAGTTTCGGGCAGAAGGAGACACAGCAGGCCACCCACGATTCCAAGGCACCCGAGAATGATCAAAGGCAAAACGGTGGCAATGTTACTTAAATATACCACAAATGGAGCCAAAATAGTCGAGACATAACCCATAATGTGTATAAAGGCCACTCCCTGGGCCCTCACCACGGTGGGCAACACCTCGGCTGCGTATTGGGAACCCACATTGTAGGATATATTCACAAAGAATCTCCCCGCAATGGCAAATGCCACAGTGTAAACTCCCGATGGAGCCATAGCGGCCAGCAAACTAAAGAGTCCACTTAAAACCATACTGCCACAAGCATTCCAACGGCGTCCCAAACGATCCATTGTCCAGAGTAAAATTACTCCCGCCGGACATTCAGTCAAACAGGCCAGGGTGAAAGTGAGAAAGATATTCAACGGCAAAGAACCCACACTGCGCACATGTCCATCAAATACCAGAGATATACACATCCACACAATGACCAAGAGAATTGTGGTACGCCTCAAGCGTGGTGTCCTAAACATGTCCATAATCGAGTAGGAGGTGTTCTGCTGCTCCTCCTGCTGCAGTTTCTGGCAGCTCAGACGAAATTCCTCAAAGGTTTCATCGCTTACTTGCGAACGATTGCGGCGCGCCAAAGTTTTTAAGATTTCAATGGATTTATCGATTTTTCCCTGCGACACTAGCCACCTGAGAGGGAGGGAGAGAAAGAGATGAAGAGACAATAGTGGGTAAAGGAAGGATATGGGAAACATATTGTTTGTATGATTTTTTGACATTTTTACCTTGCCGATTCCGGTACCAGCCATGGTGCAAACACCACCAATATCAATGGAGCCGATGTGGCAATGGCCAAGTATTTCCAATTCGCAATGTAGTAGGCAATCCAGGGCAGTATACAAGTGGCCGAGGTAAAATATATTGCAATGGGCATATTCGCCACAAAGGTACGATATTTGGGACCCACATATTCCAGAGCTGTTAGAAGAAAAAATGATTAAAAATGTGAATAACAAAAATATTGTAAAGAGAGAGATAAAGACAGGAAAAGAGAGAGCGAGAAAAATAATATAAATAACGCTTCGAGTATAAAAATAAGTTTTTATACCCTCCAACATTGTGGAGGGTATATTAAGTTTGTCATTCCGTTTGCAACACCTCGAAATATACATTTTTAGACCCCACAAAGTATATATATTCTAGATCAGCATAAAATTCCATGTCGATATATGTCCATCTATCCGTTTGTCCGTGTGTGTAAATCACTCTAGCTTCCGAACGAAATGAAGTAGGTTTATAATATTTTACTCAAATGTATATTATTTCAACAGGACTTTTGGTATTGAAAATGGGCCATGAATGATCATGTTTTTCTATAGCCCCTATACAATGGTACCTCCCTATTGTCGGTATTTCTGTGATTTAAGTGACAATATTCATCAGAATTGTTTCAAATTTGGTATTTGAAGTCCGTAATGGATACTGCAGCCTATGACAGAAAATTGTCTGAGCAGTTCCATGTGAATAAATCTTTTGTGCCTCGTACCATCGTAGAGTACCCGACGTCAAGGAAGTGGGCGGAAGAAAACAGCAACCTGCTGGTGTTCGAAAAGTAATGAAGCGACTTGATCGAAACCCGCTTGGCAGTGGCCGAAAAATGGCTCGTGAGCTGAACATATCGCAATAATCCATTCGGCAAATATTGAAAAATAAGCTCGGAGTAAAGCCATTGAAATTCCAAAATGTGCAAGAACTTACACCGCAACAGAAAGTAAATAGACTCAAAAGAGCTAAAGAGTTGCTTCGCATGGCCGTTGTCCTGCAGTATGTAAACAAACAAAATGATCGTGTTTATTTGTCAGCATAAAATGTGCACCTTCTGTTGGCCACCAGAACTCAAGCGCCGGCCGTGGTGTGGATGGATGGTGTGGGCCGCCATAACAGCCGATGGTCGCTCTCCGCTCGTATTTATCGACCGTGGCATCAGAATAAATGCCGAATATTATAGCGAAAATATTCAGGAGGGTGTATTAAAGCCTTGGGCACGCAAACATTTTGGCCGCAGACCTTGACAATCCAACAGGACTCAACACCATCGCCCTCAGCACCGTGGGCCGCCATAACAGCCGATGGTTGCTCTCCGCTCCTAGTAATTGACCGTGGCATCCTGTAGGAATGTCCAAGTTCTGCGGCCAAAATGTTTGCGTGCACACTCCGAATATTCTGGAGGGTGTATTAAAGCCTGGGGCACGCAAACATTTTGGCCGCAGAACTTGGACATTCCTACAGGACTCAGCACCAACGCACTCAGCACGCGCCACTCAAGAATGGTTACAAAATGAGGTTCCCCGCTTCATTTCCATTGCACAATGGCCACCAAAATCTTCGGATACCGATCCGTTGGACTATTGTGTCTGGAGTGCTTTGGAAAGCAAGGTTGGCACTAAAAAATACCAAAGTGTCGATCACCTCAAGTAAGCGCTTCGCCCGGAATGGGCCAAAATACCGCAGAGCAACATTCGGGCAGCGTGTGACGGTTTCATTGGCCGTGTGAAGGCCATAATTCGTGCCAAAGGTTACCAATTCGAATAAATCTAAGCTTATTATAAAATTTGATGCTAGCTCCGATATTTTTTGCTGTCATTCAAAAAAATTTAAAAAAAAAATGTAAAAATTATGGCGTTTGACTTGGTTGCAGTTTTTTTATCTCATCCTGTATTTTAAAAAAAGACCGGAAACACCTCTTTTGTGAATTCAAATTCTGTTGAAACCTTTAAAAGGCTAAAAGTAGCCGTCATATTAGGATCTAAACGATGACGTGGACTTTCATAGGCAAATTTTGTCATAAGCCATTAAAATATTTAAATGCGAAACATGAAAAAAATTGGTGAATAATGTAGCTAAAATCATCAATTTAGGGAGGTACTATTATATGGGGGCTATACCAAAATGTGGACCTGCACAGACAATTTTCTACCTTAGGCTGCAGTATCCATTACAAACTCCTAATACCAAATTTTAAACAATTCCGATAAATAATGGCGCTAAAATCATCAAAATACCGAACATGGGGAGGTACCGTAATATGAGGGCTATATGAAGACATGGACCTGCGCAGACAATCTCCTGTCATAGGCTGTAGTATCCATTACGAATTTTAACTACCAAATTTGAAACAGTTCCGTTGAATAATGTCGCTAAAATCATGAAAATACCGAATATAGGGAGGTACCGTAATATGAGGGCTATATGAAGACGTGGACCTGCGCAGACAATCTCCTGTCATAGGCTGTAGTATCCATTACGAATTTCAACTACCAAATTTGAAACAATTCCGGTAAATAATGTCGCTAAAATCATCAAAATACCGCATATCGAGAGTTGCCGTTATATGGAGGTTATACGAAGACGTGGACCTGCCCAGACAAGTTTCTGTCATAGCCTTAGCATCCATTAACCCTTTCAGTGTTTTTGTCAAATATATTTGACATTTAAAAGTACTCTCTTTCTTTGCCATTTTTTGTTTTTCTTACGAACCGTTATTTTTGATATTTTTTAATAACAGACACTTCGCTATTTAAAAATATTGCAGTTCTATTCTATTAGTTTCGTTTTCGAATTTCTGAGCACATTTTAGTAAATTAGTACGGAATTTCAGATTTTTATCTCGACCAAAAATTTCATTGACACTGAAAGGGTTAAGAACTTCAAATACCAAATATAAAAATAATTCTATTACTTTCTCTACTATGGCTAAAATCTTAAAGTCGGGAAGGTTTTACATGATTCTCGCCTTGATGGCTCCGGCCATGAGGCATCATTATACCGAGTTCGCAATTAGACGCGTAGGTGAGGGCTCCTTTAGAATTACCCAGAGTTCCCTTAGAGCGTGCTAGCCCTACAAATTGTTCTAGGTTCATTCCCCTGGTATCAAGTCTAGGATCAGCTATATGGGCTTCACTTCCCTATTTGGTAAGGGGTTGAGGACTAGCTTAATCCTCTGCTGATTCAGGGGTCACAGCACCCGGGGGCGCTTATCCATATTTCTTCTGAGTCGCTTTTAGTCTTTTACTGTTTTACTCCACCGATGGAGTTCATCCAATCAATTTAGAAACGATCCCCAACTTCTTCTTCTGATTGGGCGCCATTTAACACTTAAATTGGTCGCCATTAACACTTAAATTGACAATATATGTGGTAGTTCGGCACTTGAACTTAATCTTAATTAGTAGAAACCAGTAATGAAAGTCCTAAAGTCGGGCGGGACCGACTTTTTGATACCCTACACCACATTGCTAATTTAGTAGAGCTCCACGTAACAATTAACAATTTTTATGGGAGAATTCAACCATACACGCTATGATTATAATTATAATTTAAAGTTCAAAGTTTAAATCTTTTAAATTCGGACTTGTATTGCCCATTTGGTGCAAAATTAATTTGAAATCAGATATAGATAGATATGGGAGCTATATCCAAATCGGAACCGACTTCGATAAAATTTGGCAAAGATATTTCTGAGCTCAATTTTATATATTTCCTTGAATATTGTTGTTACGGAGTGCATATTACGGCTGTGGGTAACAAATACTAGAAATCGGATGAACAATATATATGGGAGCTATAGCTACATTTGAAGCGATCTTCACCAAATTTGGCATACTAACTTTTGGACTCAATTCGGTCGTAAGTGCCAAATTTCATCCCATTTGGGCAAATATTAGACGTTTGGTGCACAATAAAAGGTAAATCGGACGAAGTTATATATGGGAGCTATATCCAAATATGAACCGATCTCGATAAAATTTAGCAAAGGTATTTCTGAGCTGCATTTGATATATTTCCCCAAATATTGTTGTTACAGAGTGCATATTACGGCTGCGGAGGACAAAAATAACAAAATCGGATGAACAATATATATGGGAGCTATAGCTATATCTGAACCGATTTCGATCAAATTTGGCATACTTATTTTCAGGCCTAATTTGGTTGTATGTGCAAAATTCCATAATATTCGGACTGATATTACACGTTTGGTGCAGAATAAAAGGCAGATCGGACGAAGGTATATATGGGAGCTATATCTAAATTTTTACCGATTATCTCCAATTTCAATAGGGTTCGTCCTTTGACCAAACAAATGTTGTTTGGAAAATTTCATCTCAATCGGATAATAAATGCGACCTGAATACAGACAGGACTGACATGCATAAATCAACTCAGAAAGTGATTCTATAAAGATCCTCAAAAGTAAGTATGGGTCTATCTCGCTTCCTTCTCCATGTTACAAACAAATGCACAGAGACATAATACCCTTACCACTATGCGGTGTAGGGTATAAAACTTTTAGGTTTCATTATGGTCCTACATCTCCCAAATAGTATAGATTTCCCACAACCCCACCTTATATCCTATCGTCACACAAATAGTGTTCCTCGTCTAAAAATTTCAGGATGATTTTGTTTGCCCTCATTGACCTCCATAATTTTGCACAGTGTGGCAAATTAAACAATTATTCTTGCAAACATTTCGAATATGGAAAATTACAGGCCACTCCGTAAGTAAACACAACTAAAATCATTGTAACACCTCTCTCTCACACACACACACACAACCTTCAGCCAACTTATCCGCCAAATCGGCAACCTCATCTTAACATTTAAACACACACGCGTCCATCGTAAATTTACTTTTCCGATTATGAAGTTAATGAGAACAACGACTTGCGACGGGCCAGCACTTACCCAAAATAAACATCATGACGAAACAATTATCGAATGCAAATCCGACCAGAAATCGCATCAGGGCAAATAACCAAAATGTGTTGACAAATGCTGTGGTTACACCGGCGGCACAGCCGACCAAATTGCAAGCAATCATTGAGGGGACACGGCCAAATTTGTCGGCCACCCAGCCGAATAGGAGGCCACCACAAATTGCGCCCACAAAGAATATCGATTGGGCATAGGTGGCCAAGACGGCATTGTCACAGACCCAATTTTGTTCCGTGGCAATGGTTGTGTAGGGGATTTCATTGAAATCATAAGTCCAGCCATGCGAACAGGTGGTTACGGGCCAGGAGCTATTGGCCTCGGTGACACCCAATAACAACTGTTCGGTAAAGTTCACATCGTAACGTAAACATTTGCTGTATTTACCCTCCACAAGGGGTATGGAGAGTTTGAGACTGAAAGCGGAACGTTTATTAATATTTCGATTTATTTCCAGTAAAAAATGTAATATTACTCACCTCTCCTCCCGCGTTAAATTCCCCAATTCCGGCACGGTACACCAATGCTCCTCCGGCATTAGAGTCAAAAAGATTTGTGTGAAATAAACAAAGGCCAGATAGTAGGCAAACGGAATCATTAGAATAAACAAAAATTTCTGGTAACGACCGAATTCTCCAATCAACGGCAGCATGTCATTGAAATCCATCGAGGCCTTCTCCTCCAGCCCCTTGCCATTGCAGGTAGGATACAGTTCTATATCTCGATAACCATCCACAGTACCCCACTCCTCAATGTCACCATCATCGCCCATAAAATTCGGATTCTGATATGTTGATATTTTCCGCTCACGTTCACCCATTTTCCATGCAGCCTCTTTCTTCGCAATCGATTGATGAACTTAATTAGAGTCTCGGATCGTTTATCGTTCGGTGCCGGTACCGCTACAACTACTGCCAGTGTCAGAGCTGTGAAGCTCTTGTGCGTTACTCGGCGTGTTAACCGATCGATTTAAACTTTGTTTGGTTTATGTCTGAGCAATTAGCACATCGATTGAGAAGTTTAGCAGCACTTTAAACTTGATTCACTTGTAGCGGATCAATGGAAAATTTACACAACAGCACAAACAATAAGTTATGATATTAAAAGGGTGTTTGCATTTCGTCATCAGTTTGTATAGTTGTACAACAACGGAAACAAAAATCGATTAATTACACTGAGAGAAAATAATAATATTTATAATAATAATAATAATAATAATAATAATACTGCATGAGCTAAAAAAGACCTTTAATATAAAAAAATAGGGATGTTTTAAATATTTAAAAATATCTCCTATAAGACCACGGTAAGGTCTTATAAAGCCAGAAGTAATTTAACAGTTATACTATAGACATAAGACCATAACAAGCTTTTCTAGAGACCGACGAACTTCAAAAGGTTTTTTTATTTCAAAAAAAAAATCATACTTTTGACATTGTAGACCTATAGACAAAGATTTTAAAAATAAGTATTTTATAGGAAGGATACCTACAAGGGTGGTGTTTATAGACAAATCACCTTTTATACGTGTTCTGCAAAGGTCATCTACAAATAGAGGAATAATTTTCCTCAGACTGAAACTTTTTAAAACTTTTCTTTAGAGAGGAGACCTTTAAGAGCTCTTTTTTTGAGACAGACCTCTAAAATCTCTTCTTTAGACGGAAGACCTCTAAAAGCTCTTCTATACACCGAAGACCTGTAAAATTTCTTCTATAGTCCGAAGACCCTTTAAAAGCACTTCTCTAGACAGAAAATCTTTAAAAGTTCTTCTTTAGGTCGAACATCTGTAAAAGCTCTTCATTAAACTGAAGACCTATAAAAGCTCTTTAGATTGGAAATCTTGAAAGCGCTTCTCTAGACCGAAACTCTGTAAAAGCACTTCTACAGATCGAAAATATTTAACAGATATTTATTGACCGAAAACATTTAAAAGCTCATGTTTAGACCGAATACCTTTTAAAAATCTCCTTTAGACCAAAAATCTTTAAAAACACTAGATTTAGTGTTTTAGATTGAAAGTCTTTAAAAGAGCTTATTTGGATCATTAAAAGCTCTTTTCTGACAGAAGACTATGAAAAGCTCTTCTTTAGATTGCAGACATCAACAAGATCTTCTATAGACCGAAGTCCTGTAAAAGTTATTTTATAGACCGAAGGCCTATAAAAGCTCTTCTATAGACGGAGTACCTTTTAAAGCTCTTCTATAGTCCAAAAACCTGCAAAAGCTCTTCTACGAAACAAAAACTTTCAAAGGATCTTTTATATACCAAAGACCTATAAAAGGTCTTCTATAAACTAAAAACCTTCAAAGGCTCTTCTAAAGACCAAATACCTTCAAAAGCTCGTTCACAGAAAGAAAAATCTAAAATCTCTTCTATACACCGAAGAACTTTAAGAGCTCTTCTACGACTAAATAAATGTCTATAGACAGAGGATCTTTAAAATATCTTCTAAAGACAGAGGACCTTTCAAAGCTCTTCTGAAGACCAAAGATCTTTCAAAACTCGTCTTAAGAGCAAAAACCATTAAAGGATCTTCTAAAGACTTTCAAAAGCTCATATATAGACCCAAAACCTTCAAAAGTTCTTGTAAAGACCAAAGCTCTTCCAACGACCGAAAATTTTTAAAGCTCTTCTACAACCAAATACCTTTAAAAGCTCATTTCTCCCTCGAACACCTAAAAAATAACTTCTATTGTCCGAGGGCCATTAAAAGCTCTTTTTAGACCGAATACCACCAAACATATTTCTATAAGAAAAATGCATTTAGAAGTTGTTTATATGCAAAAGTCCCATAAAAGTTCTTCGGTAGAAAAAGACTTTCAAACGGTCTTCTACAATCGTAACAGGACGAACTCCTTAACAATTTCAGCTATGGATCAAACACCGTTAAATGCTCTTCTAAAGACAAAAGACCCTATATAGGTCTTCTACAGACAAAATTACTTTAACAATTTTGCCAGAGACTGGCCACCTTTACCAGGTCTTCTACGAAAAAATATCATTAAAAGGTTTTCCATAAACAGAAGACCTTTGATCTTCTATAAACTGCAGGTTTCTTGTAAGTAAGTAAGATTTTCTATTAACGGAAAATTTTTAGGAGCTCGAAGATATCAAAGCGGCGTCTAAAACTAGACAACCTTTTAGAGGTCTTCTACGAGCAGAAAGTCTTCTTGCTTCATAGATCTTTGAGAGGCATACTTAAAGTAAAATACCCTCTTTAACGAAAGAGAGGAAGATCGAAGAATAAAGTCTTTTAATGGGTGCTCTCTACTACAGATACAAGACCTTAAACTGTTCTTCAAAGTAACTTCTTTGAAAATGTTATCTCCAGGCACAAATCCTTTAACATGTCTCTTAAAGACAGAAAACTTTTAGCAGATCATCTTTAGACGGACTACCTTTGAAAGGTTTTCTACCAACAACAGGGATATTTTGTGAACAAAATGTCTTTCATTTAAAAATTGTGGTCTTTTTAGAGATCTTCTGTCAAAAAGGTGACTTTTAACAAATTGAGGGCTTCTACAGATATTCGATGTTCAGGACTTCAATGGTTGCTAGGACTCCTTCAGGTCTTCCATGCTTAAAGGATGTATCTACAGGGTTTCTCAGGTTTATTTACTCAAACAATATCTTCTACAGGCATTCATTAAATGAAGGCCTTCTAAAGGCCTATACGTGAAAATTCCTCTAGAAGTCTCATATGAAAAAAGTTCTTCTACGTTTATTTTCTTCTACCGGTCATCTATGTATAGGATACCTTCTAATGACATTTTATATAAAAAGCTTTCCGAGGACAAGCAACCGGAGATCCATCATAGCTGTTTTACGGATAAAATACATCTCACTTGTATTTTAAACTGCTACCATAAGAAGGTGATTATATTAATTTCAGATCTTATTACACCTGTTTATACATCAAATAAACCATATTACAACATTTTCCGTAATTGGAGGTTGCAGACTACACTGTTTCTGAAGTGAGGAAAGCCATTTTCAACGTGAGATGTTGTCAGTCCATAAGGGATCCTTTAAAAAAAAAAGTCCTGTATACCTTTAACAGGTCCTCCAAAAATGCTGTCTTTCTATGCCAATATTTTTTTTTTTTTTTTTTAAATAATACGTTCTCTTAAATTAAAAAAAATCATTTCTCTACCACATCCTTTGTGACAATTATGGAATCGAGTAAATGATACCGGTTGCAATTGACAAATTGACTTCATATTCAAATTATTAAGCGTCTGAAAGTGATTGACATATGAGTACCTTCTGAAAGTCACCCCATGACAAATGAGTAACACAGCCATGTTGGTAAGCAGAGATTTAATACCAAAACTTCAGAAGAATTTTTATTTTTATTTCATTCTGGACTTTTTCCTAATCCCTTAAAATTTGGATGATATTCATTGTCAGTTAATTGGAATTTGGTTGGTCTTAAATTCATGCACTGCTGGTGGTACAATTTTTTTTCTGCAGATGTGCGTATTGGTAATTTGCCATAGAACGTGTGGCGACAGAGGGAGGGCAAAAACTGAGGGTAGTCAATCAAACAAATGTTGGAAAAAATCTTAGCCTCTCCAACCCAAAATTAATCGCTGTGTGCACATTGTCAACCACTACAAGTGGTGTCGTTATGCCATTGGAACATATCAATCATTCATTTTTATTGCGGGACGAGACGCATATGCAGGCAGCAGTAGTAGCTAAATTATGCGACAGGATATAGAACTTTAAGTCATGTATTTATTTAGGATAACATAAATGAAACGAATGAAAAAACGAAACAACGAAGAAAAACGATGAAGCAACTAAGCTGCAAATACAAATAATTTTATGTTAAATCCTGGCAATTGAGAACAAGGGACATTTGCAGACAACACAAGAAAACGAATACACACAAAGGTATTGCCTGCCACTTGAAGGATATGCTTGTTTAAAGGACTATTTCTTGGTGGCAGTAAAGACAAATTTTTATGGGGACTTTTTTTAAATTGAAATGGAAGAAAAGCCTGTTATTGTCGCTGGTTGACCACGACCATGTGAAATCCTTATACACTATATTTTATATAGAAAATACAGGGTTGCCCACAGAGATGTCACATCGCTTAATGACATACCGCGTTTGAAGCGTCAGTCCAAGCAGATTTTTACCATGAACCAATACACGCCACGCGAGAGCTCTGAAATAGTTGAAATTTACATTCAACAGAAGAAGTCAATTGTGAAAACTCAACGTGCTTTTAAAACATTAAAAAATGTGAGAAGTGCGCCTTCTAAGAACACCATTAAGCGTTTATACGAAAAATTTTCGACTGGTAAGGCTCTTTCTAATCCGAAGAGGCCATATAAAAGTCGACCAAGGCGATCGGCCGATAATATCGCTGCCGTACGAGCCAGTGTTGAGAGGTCCCCAAGAACATCCCAAAAAGAATGTTGCCTGCGGACAAGCGTCGTCGATTGGAATGGGCCCAAAGAGTCATCGAAATGGCCGAAGATGACGAACAATTTTGGAACAAAATTATCATGTCCGATAAAGCCCATTTCACACTGAATGGGACCGTAAATAAGCAAAATTGCCGTTTTTACGCCACTGAAAATCCTCAGGAGATTCAAGAAGTGCCTCTTCATGGCGAAAAAGTCACAGTTTGGTGCGGCGTTAGTGCGAAAACGGTCATTGGGCCGTTTTTCTTCAAAAATGAAAATGGCCATGCTGTTACCATCAATCAGGAGCATTATCGCGACATGATGACCAATTTTGTGATGCCAATTATTCGTCGAAAGCGTATGAGGCAGTTCTGGTTTCAACAAGACGGCGCTCGTGCGGTGGAGTCGCATAACAATCGATTTTACTGAAGAATTTGTTTCCGGGCCGTTTGATGTCGAAAAGTGGTGATTTGGACTGGCCACCGCGTTCGCCCGATTTGACGCCGCCTGACTTCTTCTTGTGGGCATATTTGAAGTCAAGGGTTTACGTTAAGAAGCCAAGGACCGTAGAAGGGCTCAAGGACAACATTCGTGAAGAAATAGCCGCTATTCCGGCCGAAATGTTGGCAAAAACGTTGGAAAAT